CCCTCCCTTCTCTTTGCTAGCGCACAGCATGCAGCTGCAGGCCCCCGCTGCACCACTCTTCTGCATGCCAGCTGCCGCCTGCTTTCTTGACTTTATTGCTCTCTCAGTTCTCAGCTTACACTGTTTCTCACCATGTATCAACGATCTAACCTTTCACGCTTTCCACTGCTCTGCTTACACAGTTTTTTTTTTTTTCCTTTTTTCTTACAACCTCACCTGACTTTCTATAACTCATTGCTCTTTCTATTCTCCAAAGTTCAGAATTCCATTTAAAATCTGTTATTTACACTGCAGAGAAGAATTTCTTTGAGGGCACAATTTTGGTCAGTCTTTGCTCCTTCTTGCAGCTGCTGAGCTGAGCCCTTTCTGCTACTTTTGTGCACTCCATTACATTTGCTGAACAAATAAACGGGACTCATACTACATGGACTTGTTTGTAAGTACTCCGGGCACTTTCTGGTAACTTCTCCAAATATTGCATGTTTCACATTCCTCTCAAACATGCCAGCAGTGAACAAGTTTGGATATGCAAACTCGGCCACTTCACTCTAAATTGAGGAAATCGAGTAGCTAGCACCATATGCTCGGAATATTCTTCAAGATGCTCTGACGGCAAGGTAGCTTTCACTTATCTGAATAAATCGAGATGACAGCATTCCGTGCTTGATGTCTCCTAAACAATGTGATATCAGAGACACGTGCACAGAAATACCAGCAAAACTATCAACCAGAAGGCCAAGCTGCGTTCAGGCACTGGGCTGTCATTGGCAGTAAACGAACACACAACCAGGGCACAACGAGGAGCCAACATAACCCCAGCACGCGGGAGGCTAAGGAAGAGCCACTGTAAATTTCAGTCCTCCCTACTCAATTTAGCAACACGAACCATGACACCAGGTGAAAGTCACTGCTGCGTGTGAAAGCTGAGATCTGAGGTCCTTCCTCAGACAAATGGTTGGCAGCTACAGCTGGATGTGAGAAGCCTGAAGACCTCAGAAACAAAGCGTGTCCAGGAGGGGCATTTGGAGGTGCATATGAGCCGTTTAATAATGCTCTATGCCTCCCATAATGCACAGGTCAGGTTGGTAAAACACTGGAATCCACAAAATGAAACTTCCAGCTAATTATGAGAACTGTCT